AGTATGGACATTTTAATAATGTTAATTCTACCAATCCATGAACATGGTATATTCTTCCACTTGTTTATATCCTCATCTATCTCTTTTTTTAACGTCCTGTAGTTTTCTGAGTACAAGTCTTTTATCTCCTTGGTTAAGTTTATTCCTAATTAATACTCTGTAAGTTTAAATCAGCTTCTAACTTTTCAGCCTTTGAACTTTCAATGTCATGAAGTATCTTTGAGAGTTCCTTAAACCTGAAAATTTTTTGCCTATGTCACTTTCCTCAGGACCATCTTCATCTTTTCGTCACAACCACTTTCCTTCTATTTGTGGATAAGCTCACCTTCACCAAGTTCCTTGGGCTGCACATTTGAGTCTCTTGAATGGCAGCAGGGTCACTGTTCCCACCATCAGCTATTTCTTCTTCATTTAAAAAAAATCTTCACCCAAAGACATATTTAGAAAGAGGAAGGTAAGGGTAGGGAGACAGGGGAGAGAGAGAAAGAAGCATCGATGTGAGAGAGAAACAGCGATAGGTTGCCTTCCATATGTTCCCCGACTGGGGGATCAAACCTGCAACCCCGGTATGTGCCCTGATCAAGAATAGAACTGGCAGTCTTTTGATGTACGGGGCAACACTCAACCACCTGAGCCACTCTATAACTGTTTACATTTCATCTGAGTTTTACTTCTAATACTATTACTCTTTTTTTCTGTACTGCACTTTGATCTTGGCCAGTTTTCTTTTTCAATTATTCGTTTTTATAAAATGTTACATGAGTTTATCACTGGAGACAAGGAGGCAACGCAACTCTGCTTTATTGTCTGAACCGAGTAACAGTGCGAGGACCAGTCACCAACAGACTGAAATAGTGACAAGATAGGTTATTGATCATGATGGGCATCTATTATTTATGTAGTGATTTGTGGACAGAAGAGCTGGCAGTGAAATTTGTACTTTCTATAGTTACTCACAGTTAACATACATTGGTAACTGAAATTTGTGTTTATCTGAACTGCGCAAAGGGAGACATACCTGTGCTATAACTCTGAAAGTGCTCAGATGTTTGTTTATGATGATGTTCCCCCTATTCTATGATATTTGGGAATTAAATAATTTAAAATGTTTATATGTTATAAAAATAGATGATAAAACATTTTCTTTCAATCCCTGATTACCATCCCCTCCCACACTATCCCCCAAGGTTTGTTTGGGGTTTTTTAGGGGTGGGATATGGGGCAGGTAGCATTGTTTCTCTGGGGCTGTCACTCTAGGAACTTCATTACTAAGTTTGACTTGAGAACCCAGAATTTAGCCTTAGTTTAGCCTGAATGAAAGACTCTTAATGCTAAATTGCACTTTGTTTCTCCTTTTAGATTGATATAGAAATCAATGGTGATGCAGTGGATCTTCATATGAAATTGGGTGACAATGGAGAAGCTTTCTTTGTGGAGGAGACTGAAGAGGAATATGTGAGTTCTAGTGGGTCATATCCACTTTATTCATTGTATTCAGGCCTCTGGTGCATATCCCAAAAAAGAAATATTCCGTTTTCATGGTTAGTTGTACGTCAGAAAGGAGCTGGAGGAGTGGAGAAGGATCTTTTCTCCATGCCAGATTTCAGGGTTCAGAGAGAATGCAGAAGGCCTTCATACTTGCTTTGTTTTAATAAGGAAAGGCACATCTTTTTCTCTAACTTTAATGAGCTTTCTTATTTAGTGTCTGTTACAGTTTATACCTTGACTTGAATACATATGAGTTCTGCCTAAGTAATCAAGGTGTATCTCTTCAGATTATGTGTGTGTTGGTACAAATGTGACCTTTAAACTTGGAAAGCAAGTTTACCATTTTGATTTGGGACATTGTATCTCAAACCTTGAATAGTCACAGTGAAGTTCATTATGGTCTCAAGGGAATTAAATCAGCCTATACCTTTTATAAGCAATTACTGCATGCTTGGCTTCTTTAAGCAAGAGAGCACAACTTGTCCTTACCAACACACATTCCCTCCCCCTCCTACCCCCACCTCTTCCCCAACCCCCTTCCCCATTTCCCTTCCCCATCCTCTCCTTCTCCCTCTCTCCCCATCCTTCTCCCTCCCCTTCCCTCCCTGCCTCTCTTTCTCCCTCCCCTTCTCCCTCCCTGCCTCTCCCTCTCCTCCCCCTTTCCTTCCTCTCCCTCTTTCCCCCTCTCTTTCTCTACCCCTCTTCTCCTCTCTCCCTCTCCTCCTCTCCTTTGTATCCATTGATTTGAATTGGTGGTAAACTATCCTTAATAGATTTAATGAGGATCTTTTAAAAAATTCTTAGAACACATTGTTAAATCTTTCATCATCTATCTCTCTATCAGCCTAAGTGACCATTCGACTGTCCAACTGGTAGCTATGATGTGCAATGACCACCAGGGGGCAGACGCTGCAACCGGTAGCTATGACACGCACTGACCACCAGGAGCTGCCGAGCTGCAATGACTTGGCAGCTGTGGTTCTCAGGTGACATACCCGGAACCAGAGAGGAGGGAGCACCATTCCGGGGTGTGTCACTCAAGAATTGCCCTCTCACAATCCAGGACCCTTGGGGGATGTCGGAGAGCTGGTTTCGGCCCAACCCCCACAGGCCAGGCCGAGGGACCCCACCTGTGCACGAATCCGTGCACCAGGCCTTTAGTAAAGAATAAAATCTCAGATCACTATGGCCCATGAGGCTTAGTTGGTTGAGCATTGTCCCATGCACCAAAAAGGTCACAGTTTCAATACCAGGTCAGGACACATAACTAGGATGCAGGTCTGGTCCCCAGGGTGCGTGCTGGAGGCAACTGATAGATGTTTCTTTCTCATCGATGTTTCTCTCTCTCTCTCCCTCTCCCCTCCTCTCTCTGAAATCAATTTAAAATATCTATACTAATAAAAGGGTAATATGCTAATTAGACTGGACATCTTCTGGATGTCCCTCCGGACAAAGCCATGTTGGGGGGGGGGGCGAGGCAGAGGTGGTTAGGGGCGATCAGGTCGGCAGGGGAAAGCAGTTAGGGGGTGATCAGGCTGGCAGGGGAACAGTTAGGGGACAATCAGGCTGGCAGGGGAGCAGTTAGGGGGCGATCAGGCTGGCAGGGGAACGGTTAGGGGGCAATCAGGCCAGCAGGCAGAGGTGATTAGAAGCGATCAGGCCAGCAGGCAGAGGTGATTAGGGGCAATCAGGCAGGTGAGCGGTTAGGAGCCAGCGGTCCCAGATTGCAAGAAGGATGTCCGACTGCCGGTTTAGGAGTATACATATAAAGAAATTATCATGTAAAAAAAAAAGTACAAGTAAACTTTATAACAAAAACCATTAAATTAAAAGACCTCTGGATGTCAGAGACCACAGCCTGTCACTTTGATAATATCCTATCATTGCAGTTTCTCTCTAAGTATGTGTTGTTGGTGAATACAAATTTTGCTTGGGAAAACAAAACTTTGGCCTTGGTGTAATATATTTACCAAACCTAAATTCAAATGCTTGATTTAAAACAATTATGGAAACCCACTTATTTTCAGTATATTACATACAGTGTGTTCTGAATTATATGAGGCTAATTTGGATCTCTGTTACCTACCTTCCATTTCCTCCATGATATAAAAGAATGAAGCAAATGATTATGAAGTTAATTTCCTGAACACCAGACTTGATCATTTATTTAATAATAAAAGAGTTTATTTATAATTGTTGGGATTTATTTTCTTCTTTTTAATTCCTAAAAGGGTATCTTAAATGTTTTACGATTTAAAAATCCACTAATTTTATTTGTTACAGAGTATTGTTTCTGTTATAATCATCTTCCTCCATCTTCAATTAATTTGGCAAACACAAGCATTAACTATAAATTTTACCATAGTTTCTCACTTCACATAACCCAGTGGTTCCCAACGTGGGGCACACACCCCAAAGAGGGGGCAATTTAACTTTTAAGGAGGCCAATTTGAGAATGAGTTATTAACAGTGAATTTTTTGCATTTCTTATGGTTCTAGGGGCCTCGTATACAGTATATAAATGTATATTTTGACATATTTATGCATGTCAGTTCTCTATTATGTTTTGAAACTTTATTTGGTATTTTTTCATGTTACTTCATGTTACCATTTTTTTTAACAATTTCTTAGTGATTTCTTCCTCAGTACTTTAACTGTCCTTTCCTTCTTTTATTTTTCTCTTTCATGGATGCCATATTCTTTGGAAGCTTGTTTAGACCAAGTTAATGGCCTTTTAGGCTTCCTCCACGTGAATAGGAGTTCACTTTTTGAATAAGAATTATATGTCACAGGATGGGCATCAGGATTTTATAGATGCTTAGGTGGGGCATGGCCAAAAAAAGGTTGGGAACCACTGTCCTATTGTCCGTTGTCTGATGGGGTATTTTTGTCCTTGCTTTCTGCTTTGTCCGTTTTTACTGTTCTTTGTAAGTTCTTTACAGATGCTTTGTAACACTTCCTTGGAATTCATCTGCTGCTGCTTTGAATTTCTTTTTACAGATAATTTAATTGGCTTTGCTTTAATTATAGCTTTCATGTTCCATGCTGTCTTGGCATAATGGTTCCTCCAAACATATTGAGTTATGTGGACCAAAGTGAGCTAATAAAGCTGTGTGCAATAAAGTAAAGACCTATTTAGAGTGGGCAGTGCCCCAGTTCAGTGTGACTTTCTTGCCTTCAGGGACTATTGTTTCTGCCACTATGAAAATTTAGATACGCAAAGAATTTATTATTATTTTGGTTGTCCAGTTTGCCATGGACAACTTTTCTTTCTTTATGTTCTCTTTAAGGAAAAACTTCCTGCTTACCTTGCCACTTCACCAATTCCTACCGAAGATCAGTTCTTTAAAGATATTGACTCCCTTTTGGTAAAATCGGTTGGAAAGGAAAGACCATCTCAGAGTTCCAACATCTCGCACATCTTGGAAACAGAGACGGTTTTTACTCCAAGTTCTGTGAAAAAGAAAAAAAGAAGGAGAAAGAAATGCAAACAGGACAGTAAAAAGGAAGACCAGACAGTTTCCCCTGCTGCAGAAGACACTATGGATATGGATCTGAGCTCTGATGATGACAAGGGGGCCCAGTCAGCAAGGTAGGACTCTCAGTCTGGGAGGGCTCTTTGTGCAGATGCCAGATGTTCATGCATGCTCCGAACAGAACACAGCTAAAGTGAGAAGCTGTTTCTTTTATGGGTCTACAGTATGAGGTTTGGACTTGTTTTTCCCCTTGACAGTTTGTTGTGGAATCAAGTAGGAAAGGCATTTTCTTTTTTTCTTTCCATAACTCGACAAAATTTGCCATCAGACATCCTGCAGTAGTGCTCAAATATCATTTAAAACAGACTGGCAATGTGTGTCTTTTCATCCAGTAAGTTTCCAAAAGCCAAATAAATTGTAAGTCTCAAAGAAGATCTGAACTAGTGACTCACCTCTGGGTACGCAGATACAAACATCAGGACTATTTATTTCCTAACCCAGTGGTCTTGTGCTTGGTATCTCACCTATTCCTGAGAATTATTAAAAAGAAGAAGGGGGGGGAAAGATTTAAAAATATGAACAATAATTGCCGAACCGATTTGGCTCAGTGGATAGAGCGTCGGCCTGTGGACTGAAAGGTCCCAGGTTCGATTCCGGTCAAGGGCATGTACCTGGGTTGCGGGCACATCCCCAGTGGGAGATGTGCAGGAGGCAGCTGATCGATGTTTCTCTCTCATCGATGTTTCTAACTCTCTCTATCTCTCTCCCTTCCTCTCTGTAAAAAATCAATAAAATATATTTTAAAAAAATAAAAAAAATATGAACAATAAAATGTCAATAAACACATATCTGTCAACAAATGAATCTAAAAAAAGGAAACGAAGCAAAACAGAAGCAGAATCATAGATACAGAGAACATTTTGTTGGTTGCCAGATAGGAGGAGGCTTGGAGGTGAAAAAAGTAAAGGGATTAAAAAATACAAATTGGTTTTTACAGATAGTCATGGGGATGTAAAGTACAGCATAGGGCATATAGTCAATAACATTCTAACTATGCATGGTGTAGGATGGGTACAGACTTACTGGGATGATCACTAAGTTATATATAATGTCTAATCACTGGGGTGTACATCTGAAACTAATATAATATTGTATATCAACTGTAATTGAAAAATAAAAAAATGATTAAAAAATTTTAAAAAAACACCCTAGTAAGTTAAAAGAGGAAAGAAGGGTTTTGTTTTGTTTTAAGTGAGAAATCTTGATGACTACTTATTCACCAGCTCACTAGAAGAGCTCAAAATAGATGCCAGTTTTCAAGTCAGCAATGTCTGAGGTTGAAAGGTAGCAATTTGGGGTAGGACATGTATTTTTTCATTCAAGATTGTATTTTTAGATTATCTCTCACCTTTTATACTCAGTGGTTGCACTGGCACAGGAAGGATCATAGGTATGTCAGTGGGGTGCTTATCTTCATTGGTAACCATTGAACAAGAAGCTGCTGCCCACAAGCATCCCTAAATTTTCAAATCTTTTATGAGAATTGGGGTGGGGGAGGATGGCATTGTGACATGTGTGCTGGTCCACTTGTATCCTTCGTTCTCAGCTGCTGAAAAGAGATTATGCCCTACTTCCTGGGAAAATAGTGCTTTAAAGTTCTCTTCATGAAAAATAATTTCTGTCTCTAGTTATAGAAACCAAATATATACCAATTGTAAATTCTGTTGTGACCTAGTATATGCTTGATTGACCAAGTTTTTGTTTTAAATGGTCAAGTCAGGAAAAAAGTGCTATTATTGTATTACTAGAGGCCTGTTGCACGAAAGATTCATGCACTAGGCCTGGGTCCCGGGTGCTGGAGGAAAACCGGTGCCGCTCCGGCCGGAGCTGCCTTCACAGCCCTCGCTGCTCCGGCCGGCGCTGCCTTCAGTCTTCACTCGGCCACTTCGCGCCTACGTATGCAAATTAACCGCCATCTTTGTTGGCGGTTAATTTGCATATCTCACTGATTAGCCAATGGGAGGCATAGCGAAGGTATGGTCAATTTCAATCTTTGTCTATTATTAGATAGGATAGTTATACTCTGTTAATGAATAACATAGTATAATAATCCCTTTTTGGCAAAACTGTTAACTTATTTTCCAAAACTTTAAAATCTGGGTTGTAAATTCTGGAAAAAAATTCTATATGTGATAGTAATTTTTAATATATGAACTCCTTTTCTGCCGATCTTTTATTACTCAACTACCATATTTGAGACTTTCTTTCTCAGTCTTCCCACACTGTAGATTTTTATTTCAGTTCTCCTAGAATACAGAATTCCTCTGTTACAACTAAACAACAGAAGAAAGCAAAAAGTACTTTAGACTCTACAGACCAGTGTAAACTATACCTAAAAAAAATTTAAAATAATTCAGCTGATTTTTTTTTTTTTTTTTTTGGTCAGTGTCAAAACACTAGCTGGGAAGAGCTTAATTAAAGTCCCAAAGAACTTTAAGCTAATACAGAGTACCATAGTTTCTTAAAAAGAGACTCTTATTCTTTTCTTCCTGCTTCCAGTCTCTTAAGGGTTATTTGTCTTTTCCTTTCCTAAGAGAATATACTAGGAGACCCTTTGAGATCTTTTATTATTTGATTTTGGTTCTATTAACAACAGTGTAAACAGTTCCTTTAAAAGTTTTGATTTATTTATATTAAAATGTGTAGTGGGCAGGAAATGTATTCTTTTGACAAAAAAACTCAAAATACACATGCATCTAAATTTTATTTGGATTAGCATTAATAATCCCTTAAGTGCCTTAATTCCTGGAAATGTTTTTGCCAACTAAAATTCTAAGATCCACCAGGAAGGATCCTGAAGTAAAACTTTCGTCTTCAAAGTTTTGTTGACGAGTGTTCAACAAAGTCCTTTGTATAACATAGAACTAAGTTTAGAACTCCTGAACAACCTGCAGCTTTATTTTTATTTTTTTTCTATTTTTCAATTACAGTTGACGTTCAATATTATATTAGTTTCAGGAAAACAGCATAGTACCAACCTGGGAAGTTAAAACATTTCTGAAACATATGCGAAGTCATCTACTAGATGCACAAGAATTATTGTTCTAAAGGAATTTTGTAAATGAGTGCTGCAGGTGGACACTTGACAAAAATATTGGTGAATGCCTTTCTTTTCCAGATTGTGTGAAAGGCTGCATCAACCAAATATGTTAGTGTACTGATTTGGTCTACAGTGACATGGTTGCCAGCTTCTCTATTTAAACAACAACCTTGCTTGCTTGGCATATCAGAATGCATGTAAACTAGGGCCTTGTAACAATTTTCATGAGTTTAGTGGTTTGCCTTTTCTGTAGGTACCAGTGAATCATAGATGCTACCACTTGGAGGAACACTTTCCTGAAATTTCCTTAAAACAGGATCTGCTTAATTATGCAGCCAACAGATATTAGGAGTTTGAAAAGACAAGATGTAACAGTTGTGAAAGTTCAGGTCATATACTGAAATAAGCGCTAAGCTGATAAAAGGTAGAAGACTGAAGCAGTTAAACTTCTGATTGTGGAATAGCGACTTCCTGATCACTCCAGGCCTTCATTTTCTTAATCTATGAAATAAGGGAATTAAGCTACATGGTTTGCAAGGTCCTTTCTGCTCATTATTTAGATTCTAAAATAATTTGGATGAAGATATTTAGGGTCAAAAGTATTAACATCACATTAAGTGACACGTTAAAGAATCTGAAAGAAAAAAGAATAGAAAGTCTACCGTCTTTGCAGTAGTGAGACCTAGAGCTATATGGTATTGGAATTTGGAACTTTAAAAAAAATATTTTTGTTGAATTTAGAGAAGAAAGGAGAGAGATATAGAAACATCAATGATGAGAGAGAATCATTGATCGGCTGCCTCCTGCATGCCCACACTGAGGATCAAGTCCACAACCCAGGCTTGTGCCCTGACAGGAGTCTAACCATGATCTCCTGGTTCATTGGCTGATGCTCAAGCACGGAGCCACACTAGCTGGGTGGAATTTGCAACTTTTAAATATCTTACCCTCCTCAGCTCCTACCACTTAGGAAAGAAATTCTGTTTCTAGAGAAGATACCTAAAATAAATTATTTTATTTTGATAGATACCATTCTATTTAAACTCTCTTCATTCATAACAGAATTAAGGTTAATTAAGGCTCCTGAAGGAGGCAAATGAAAGACAGCATCATTCTTTAAAGCAGGTTACTATATCACAAGGTAGAAGAAACTCAATTGATGGAAATTGGAGTTTTAAACTACACAGAGCTTAGTGTAAGCTGTACCTAATGAACCTCTGTCTCTTCCTAAAATTGGACTTTCGGCTTAAATATAGTACAAAAGCCATGTTTGTCCTTCCAGAGGATGTGTGGACATACCAGATGTACAGGTTAATAATGCGGATTTTGTAATCAAAGAAAACAGGATAATTTCAAGAGAAACCTCAAAAGTGCTTTATTCAAAGTAATGTCCATTGCTAGCTACACATTTCCCCCATCTTTCAGGTAATTTGTGGATACCATCCCAATAGAACTTTTCTTGTTTTGAGGCAAACCATTCAGAGACCCAATTTTCCACTTCTTTGTATGTTTTGAAGTGCTGCTCAGAAAGTGCATGTGCCATCGATTGGAACAAGTGTATTCTGAAGGAGCAAGGTCTGGTGAATACGGTGGGTGGGTTAATACTTCCCAGGCAAGCAAGATCTTTTAACAAGTCTTTAACTGGGTTTTAAGTGTCCGATGGTGCATCATCATGAAGCAAAATTACTTTGCCATGTCTTCTGGCCCATTCTGGTCGTTTTATGATCAAAGCATGGTTCAAATTGATTATTTGTTGTTGGTAGCGATCAGTATT